GCACAGGCCAAGGCCAAAATCACCTTCTTCACAGTCGTCCCAACAGTCTACAGCCGCCTCCTCGCCACCCACAAGCTCCTCGCCCCAGAAATGCAGGCGGCCACCCGCACCGCCGTCTCCCCAGAGCACATGCGCCTCAGCATCTCCGGCTCCGCCGCCCTCCCCACCCCGATCAAGGCCTCCTGGCGCTCCCTCAGCCACGGCAACGTCCTCCTCGAGCGCTACGGCATGACAGAGGTCGGCATGGCCCTCAGCTGCGGCCTCCACCCCTCCGACCGCGTCGACGCCAGCGTCGGCTGGCCCCTCCCCTCCGTCCAGGCCCGCCTCGTCGACCTCGACACCGGCGACGTCATCCAGCCCGGCGAGGACGTCGACCCAGCCACCGGCCGCGAGCGCTCCGGGGAGATCCAGCTGCGAGGCCCCACCATATTCAAGGAGTACTGGCGGAACCCTACCGCCACCGCGGCCGAGTTCGTCTCCGATCCGGACGGCAAGGGCTCGTGGTTCAAGACCGGCGACGTCGCCGTGCGTCGTCCCGTCGAGTCGGCCGCCTTTGCCCAGCCCTGGGCCAAGGGCCCTCTGTACTTCATCCTTGGTCGCAAGTCGGCGGACATCATCAAGACGGGAGGCGAGAAGGTGAGCGCGCTCGAAGTCGAGCGAGAACTGCTCTCCCTGCCCGAAGTGTCCGAAGCCGCCGTCGTTGCGGTGCCAAGTGGAAATTGGGGTCAAAAGGTCGGTGCTGTCCTGATTCTCAACTCAGAGGTTGCAACGACCTGGAGTCCCATGGATATGCGCCGTGCTCTCAAGGGGCGGCTGGCCAACTATAAGATTCCTCAAGTCATGAAGCTTGTGGACCACATACCTCGCAATGCCATGGGGAAAATCAACAAAAAGCAACTCGTTAAATCCATCTTCAAGGATGAGCACAGTGACGATGAAATGTAGTTTAGCATGCCATTTGCTCCCTGATATCACATTGTACGATACGTTCAGCAAAATAAAAATATCATAACTCGGCATGCATCTAACGAACTAATATCATTGGATCAAGACATCTGGGAACAAAAGGACAGGTGGAAATCCTATTATTACGAACCAATACTGGCCGCATCCGCCTGAACGCGCATCCACTTGAGAAACAATGTTCCTACTAACGCCGGTCTTAACCTTGGTGTTTCGTAAGCTGCGGTAGCCAGCATTCTAAGCTTACATCAAACCCGTGTCATGATATTGAATGATTTTCCTCCCCGTAACCTATCGCCATGCTGGTTCCAAGGTATTTCCACCCATGTGCCGGGACACTGTGAAAGGGGCAGTCCAAAAAAGACCTGGCTCTAGGTTAAATAAAAAAGTTCTCCTCATCTTGCTGCGGCCACATAGCTGCCTTTAAACAACATGCTTGGCCTTGGCCCTCGTACTTCCAGCATTCGCGCTGTCTGTGTGACCTGAGAACTCGACCTGCTCATTAGCGGGAAGTTCGAGGACCTCCTTGAACCGGCGACCGATGTTGAGCAAAATGTTCTTGCCCTTCTCGTTGGTGCGGCCCTTGCCGCCAGCCACATCACCATCGCCTCGGCCTGGAATGCTCTTTCCTATCGTGCGAGTCCAGACACCGATTCGATAGAAGGCCTTGCGGACGTTGACGACCACGCCCATCACTTCACCGTCGTCTTCGTCCTCGAGTGTCTCACCAATAGCAGACATCATGACTTGAAGCCAGAGTCGGTCAACATCGATATTTCGCTTCTCCTTGTACTGGTAGGACCACTTCCCACCGTGCTTATTCTGGGGGTCCTCCCACTCTGGTCGGACGCCAGCCTTGAAAAGATGGTAATCGGATTTCAGAGCCAGCTCGGATACTGCGGCGACATTATTCTATTCTTTTGTCAGTAAATTTATTTTGTCACGTTATGCAGGGGACAACGCACATAGACACCCCAGAACTCCTCCACTGAATCAAATGTGATGACTTCCTTCAGAAGGTCATTCCAGTTGTCTCCCTACCCGCAAATGAGGTCAGCACGATTCACGGAGGTTAGAACGAGGGCATCTCACCTTGCCACTAGGGGGCTTGGTGAACCACAAGGTCCATTTGTTCTGAAGAGGATGCTTGACGTTGAAGTTGTCCTTGTCATGGAAGACGGTGACAGGCTTGCCATCTTCGACGGCATCTGCCTCCTCCTTTCCATTGGGCGAAATGGGGATGGTTGACAGGTCAACCTGCTTGTTCATATCGGTTTCAGACATCGTTGCAGTCGGATAGGCGCGCAAGTCAGTGGACCGAGTGTGCAAGCAGAGAACTTGAGCGGAACAGGAATCGACGTCGGGGTGCGGTCGACCCAGGGAAGTATCGCGATCAGTTAAAGTGGTGAGGAAAATAGATCCACTATTTTCGCACGAAGAAGTAGGTAGGTACTAGGTAAGGTAAGTAGAACTTGCGCCAGGCAAATATCTACCAAGGAGGAGGTGGGATGGATGGGTGAGAGCCGACAGCGAATTGTGTTGGGTAGTGGCGAGCGAGGTGTGCAGGAAGGGACTTGGGCCAGGGTTGATGCTGACTGGAGGAGTGCAAAAAAATTATCGGCGCCGCCTGCCCGCTGTGCCTTATGCCAGTAGCCCAGGACAAGCGACTGTCGCGCCCACACAATTTTCTCAAGTTGGTTGAGCAGTAGCCCACGCTAGTATCTTTTTTTGACAGCATCATCCCCCACCTTCCACAAAAGGACTCAACCTTGGCTTATATTCATGCTACGCGATTCTGAGCCTCATATATCAGGCATCAAGAACATGTTCACCACAAAGTGATGGAAGGAAGAACCAAGCTCTCACTTGATAACGGCATTTTGGCAACTGGTCGCCTTTATTCAATTTTCTTTTCTTTTCTTGTGAATCAATCTGATTGCTGAGAGCAGTAAATTCTATCATTTTTATTGGCATGCCATTGTTCCTAGCAAATGGCAAGCAAAAAGCTGCCGCCATATTTATCGGGGAGGAACGTACGAGTTAAAGATGAATGTTGAAAAGAAAGAGAAGTACCGACTTGGATTCCGATTGTTTGTAGATGGACTTAACCTTGAATGGATTTATCTGGACTAGTACCGGACAATATGACAATCACCTCGGGAGGAAAGGACAACACTTGCTGATGGTTGGACTAGCTTTTTGTAGTACCAAGCAGCCTAGCGATTCACAAGATTCATACGACCTAATAAACCAGAAAGTGGGATCTCATCAAGAACTTTCAGCTCGTGTTGCGGCTGGGCACATCTGTCAGAACAGCCTGGTGCTGTCGGCGACCAGTTACACAACTAAAGGCTTCCGGTTCAAGCTAAACAGTCTCATCATAGTCGTGACCAAACCTTGCTACAGAATTATTGTGTCTCATGTCCCTTAATTACATTACGCAAGCTACCTTGCATGCAAGCATAATAAGAGCTCTGGCCCACTCCTGGGGAAAGGGACATGAGTGTTTCGGGCGCTAAGCTGAATATTCTGAAGCAGCGGATGGCAAGCCACTTATAGGCTCCCTGATCTGATCATCAAGTCCATCACGATAGCAGGTACTCTGTACTGGTAGGCACACTGGAACCTGACGACCCAGGCCTAATTCCCCTTCGTTTTGATGACAGCGTCGAGGTACGGCCCACAGACACGAGAAGAATCTCCTGGCGCATTCGACAGCCCCGTCTCTGTGAGCCTGAATAAGTCCGAGGCTGGGAGCGCAATATCGGGCATCACCAGGGCCAAGTGAAACCTGGATCAGGAACAGCTGCGGGAAGGCGACAGACGGAACGCTAGGTAGCGGCTGATCCATTTTTTAACGACCCGGAAGCGCTCCTGGGCCTCCGCTTAACCCTGCAAGGAACCTTCCGCAAGTACAACGCTGGTATTTTCAGGTACTTTGTGCCAAGACTGTCGGTGTACCTGGGAGAAGCAGTACCAGCTTAGCAGCACTTGCCGAACGGGAATCAGGCAAATGATTCTGCCCGATAGCGAATTCAAGACATCCCAAGGACATCTGAACCTCCCAAGCTCCCCTGGCCCCTTCACAGGGACTCGGACGGAAGCAAGCAGCTGTACTCACAGCTACCCCTGGGGAAACGGCTGGTGGGTACCCTCAAACACCAGCCTCCCGCATTTCGCCCATGGCCACGACCTAGCGGGGACTAAATGGTACCTTACCTATCTCGATGCCTTGGCCACTAGGAGCAGCAATTGTTGGCGGCTCCCATCGTCAATGGGTCATGGATGTGATGTGGTCTGGATTAATGAATTCCCTGAACCTGTGGAACTTGTGACCGCTACTCCCAGCCCCCATCGACTGCATCGTCATCACAGGGATCATCTGAGGAGGGCCAGGGTCCGGCCCAGTTCCTGACGATACTCAGCGTGATGTCAGGCATCTCCCACTTGGCTTTCATCTCGTTCGAACCCAGCTATTCCATTTCCTGCCGTTGTATTATAGTCTTGAAGCAATTCCCAGCCTCCGGTCGACTGCTTTGGCCGTTGTGCTCAAGCCGAAAACCCTGCGTCAGACTGCAAATCATACCTACAGCAGCAGCCAAGTCTATTCCATCATCCTTGGGCGTGCAACCGCACTATCTGCGCACCACGAGCACCTCCCTAGTTAGAATGGCCGTCTCCATCCGACCCTAAAGACCGCATCAGGCCAACAGGCTTAATTACCATCGCCCCGAACCTCCAAGAAGATCTCTGCATGGTGCGTATGTACCCATCACCTGCGTATGAATCCATAATTACCTCCGTGCCATCTACCGGCCCTGCAACGCACATACCGGCCCATCAGCCTACGCCTGTCTGCGTTAGCTGCCTCGTGCTGGGGAGGTTGGAGTCCAACCGTCCTCAACGCCCAGGACCAGACACCCCGAACGGTTTCTTTTTCCCTTCCTTGTAGCTCCAGCCTCCAGCCTCGCTTGCAGTAAGGCTCTTTCAATTAGCCCCATCCTGTCTCTCAACGACCAATCACGGCTGCATTGCTGATGGCAGCACCCTACTGGGGCCAACTGCCTGGGCCGAAAATTGTCAGAGCTCAGCGCATATCAGAAGAAAGCTCGCTGGATGCTCCACCACCAACATCACATAACCGCCGCGCTTCGGTGCAGACTGCGCTCACTGATTCACCCTTCAGTCCGTCCTTCGAATCTCCTGTCCCTTCTTCTGTAGTTGCTCAAGGTCTAGCCCCAAGGCCAGCCTCATATCAACGGCCACCTGCTTCCACGGACCAAACCTCAGCGAGGGCTCGACATCGTGCTAAAATTGCGCGGGCCGACGACTTTAGCGACGAGGAACCTATTTCTCCTGATATATCAATTGCCCCCGACACATCTCATGGTCCTCCTCTAAGCTTTCGGCAACCTTACGGCGAGGGCCCATCCCACATCCAGGCCTCCCCCAGAAGAGACAGCCGCTCGCAGGAGCCAGCTTCTCCAATTCGAAACAACATGGATCACAAGGAGGAGGAATACGAACAAGAGCCAAACGGGCACAACTTGGCTGCCCAGGCTGATGACAGCCAGTTCCTACAAGAAAGTGCTGAAATTCTGACGAGGAAGAATGGAGGGGGTTCACAACGTCGTAACAAAGGAGCACTGCCTAAATCACCACTCCAGAGACTCGAGATGACGCTCGACACCATGACAAAAGAGGAAAAGCGAGCCCGTGTCGAAGCTGCGGAGCGTCGAGCCCGGGAAAGATACGCATTGAAGGCTGGAGGGGTCGCCCAGCCAGCTTCCTCACACAGTCGCAAACAATCAGTGAGCCGTGATATCCCAAGGCTAGACCCAATCGCTGTGCCGAGTGCGTCAACTAGAGAAGTTCCCATCTCCAGAGAAGCATCTGTCCGGAAGGAAGCACCCCATCAACCCCAACAGCGGTACCAATCGCATGGCGAACACCGGAGTAATGGCCCAAGCATAACACAGCAATGGGGAAATGCGCAATCAGCACATCACCAAGATCCCGAATCCGGGCACCCTAAGCGCAATTTGAGCTTCCGTGAGCGCGCCGCTCGCGACGATGTAAATATTCCCCAGCATGATGTTGAGGACGCTTATGTTGAACAGCCCTACACTCACAAAGAGAGTGCTCAACCCCAAGTGCCAGCTTCGTCATCTGTGGCGCGAAATGGGAGCAGCAGATCGAAACCTAACCCTCCTAGAGACAATCAGCACCGTCCACGAGGAGACGATGATTTCTCGCAAACTGCTAGCCCTGGGCCATCCAGCCACCACAATTCTGCGGCACAGCCAAGTAGAGCAAGAGACCACAACAGAAGACAATCAATAGACACAAGGGATCGCGCCATCTACCAGCCTGAGGCAAGCGGTGATTATCCACAGGGCCTTCAGCGTAGAGCTACAGAGCCTGTCCATGGAAAACAGCGTGCACAGCCTGATCTCGCTGCCCGGCCAGTCGCTAGAAGTAACACGGTCAGGCAGGAGGTGGCACCACGGCACCATGGCGAGGGGCCTTCAGCACAGCGTTCGGAGCAAGAATCTTATTTGCCCGTCCCTGCTGCCAACCCCTCCAACCAATCACAGATTAACAGGGAAAGTATGCATCCCGGCGAAGGGCTCTACAAGTCGCCAGTTTGGCTAGACGAGTGGAAAAAAGCAACCGTCGGCTTACTTGCGGGGTCGATGCTGAAGCTATCTAGAGACCACACATCTCATGATATCCCAGCTTCCAGCGATAGGAATAAGGCCTGGTGGGAGGCTGGCGGCCACCGGAAAACCTCGAGCTATTCGGGTAGACAACGGCGAGCTGAAGCCTTTGAGGGAGAGTACGACAATAATGATTGTAAGTCATTGATCAACGCTTTTTTTCCAAACTCAATTCTGACCTCTACTTAGCTCCAACTCGATTCAAACCACCGCTGTACCTGGAGTGCGGTCCACTCCTCAGATACTGCGGTATCCGCCGCGAAAAGTTGCAGCCGCGCACCGGCGGTGCAAGTGGGGAGAGAGATATATGGCGAGGGAGTATAATGATTGTGACACGGAATTCGGATTCGTCGTACGAAATCGCCCCGACGCTTCGGTTATTTGTCCAAGACATCGAGCTTCTTCCTACCCCTCCACACAAGGTCAACGGCGAACTCTCGCCCGAATACGTTGACCCAGTCGCCGGCCATCCCAAGCTTGGTCGTCGTGGCGAAACCTTGTACGTACGGCCGGTAGATCACCTGGATGAGGGCATAGATCTGTCTCAGGATGAAACCGAGGATGGCTTATTTGAATCAACAAGAAGCCCTCCGGATCCAGAGGATCCCGCGGACTCCCATGGCAGCTTCGCGAGCAGGATGAAGCGCATCGAACTTGACGGTGAGAAGGCGCAAAAGTACAAGGATGTTAGAGGCTTCCGACTTCACACCGAGAAGGGAGTGACATTTTGGAGGTTCAATATAGAAGTTGAGCTTCAGCAGAACCAGCAGCGAATTGCATACCGTATTAATCGAGGACCAGCCATGGCTTTCTGGGTGCCTGCACAAGGGAAAACGATGAACATCATGTTCCACAGCGGCAACGGTTTTAGCATCGACGCCAACACGGATGCTGTGAGCGGCCCTGACCCGATGTGGCGCGATGTGTTGAACAGTCACCAGAGCTCACCATTCCATGTCATGATCGGAGGAGGCAACCAAATATACAATGACTCCGTTGCTGAGCACTGCAATCTGTTCATTCGCTGGCTTGAGCTGAGGAGTCCCGCCGATAAGCGGTCAGCTCCATTCTCGGCCCATCTGCAGAAGCAGGTGGAGGAGTTCTACCTGCAACAATATTGCCAATGGTTTTCCTCTGGTCTTTTTGGCCTTGCGAATTCGCAGATCCCCATGGTGAACATGTGGTCAGATCGTGAAAGTTTCCATGGCTTTGGGTCATATCCCGATAAGGATATGAGCTCGCCAGTCCTGTCAGGTATTGGGGCTGTTGCTTTTAAATACTACATGTTGTTCCAACATCAAACCATCATCCCAGAAACGCAGGCTTCTGAGCCAAGTTGGATAATGGGGTCTGAGCCTGGACCTTATGTCAACGAGCTGTCGCGAAGTCTTTACATGTCTTTGGGCTCAAAGGTCTCACTTCTCGCCGTCGATTGCCGAACTGAGAGGACCGAGCTCGAGGTAATGAACGAGAACACTTGGGAAGCTATCAATGATCGAGTGTACAACGAATTCAGACGAGGCCAAGTTGAACACCTGCTTGTTGTATTTGCGATCCCGTTGGCATATCCTCGCTTGGATTGGCTTGAAAATATGTAAGTCTTGCAGCCCGAATAGTTCAAATTCTCCATAGATTGGTTCGGAGCTAACCCACGAAACAGTTTCTCCTCCCGGGCGATGGATCCCATCAAACGTCTTAGCCGAAGGGGTCTCTTTGGTAAAGGGCTCAGCAACATTGAGAATGGCGCTGAGGTGATGGATGACCTACGGGACCATTGGACAGCCAGGAATCACAAAGAGGAGAGAAACTTTGTGATTGAGGATTTCCAAGATCTAGCCATTGATAAGTCGCTCCGAGTGACAATACTCAGCGGTGATGTCAATCTTGCCGCAGTTGGTCAATTCTGTTCCAACCCCAAGCAGGGGCTGGCCAAACACAGGGATCCCAGATATATGCCGAACATCATATCGTCGGCAATTGCGAACACGCCACCCCCTGACATTGTGGCAGATGCACTAAATAAGCGGCATAAGGTTCACCATTTTGACAAACAGACCGACGAAAGTATGATCCCATTGTTCTCAAACGGCGTTGACGGCAAGCCGAGGAATAACAAGCGTCTTCTACCCCATCGCAACTGGTGTTCTATCCGGAGGTGGGAGCCAGGCACCACGCCACCATCGACACCTGAACCCCCCTCAATTCCTGAGGAAGTTCCAAGCCCACAGCAAGCGCCTGAAAGCAGCGCAGGTGGTGGAGGTGGTGGAGGTAGTGCAGGTGGAAGTGGTGGTCTTTTCAGAAGGTTTTCTCTGAGCGGACCTTCGCACCGGCCCGACATGTCCAAGGAATCTGTACGGGGTCCCAAACCCCCCGTTTCTGGAGGGCTATTCCGTAGCCTCTCACGCCGACTGTCGCGATCAGAGCCCAAGGGACCCAAGGAACCCAAATTACCGAAGGAGGAGGTTCAACCCCCGCCATTGACAAGAAGCATGTCTCTAGGGCAGGGTGAGGCGACCCAAAAGCGAGGCCTTTTCAGCTTCCTGAGACGCGGTAGCCAGAAGCAAAAGAACATGGCTGTCGCCAGTAGCGATAACTTTGCGCCCAGAGATGACTTTTCGCAAAGAGACAACTTCTCCCAGAGAGATAATTTCTCCCAGAGAGATAACTTCTCCCAGAGGGACAACTTTTCCCAGAGAGACAACTTCTCCCAAAGAGACAACTTCTCCCAGAGGGATAACTTCTCCCAAAGAGACAACTTTTCGCAGCGAGGTAACTTTGCGCCAGAAGATGACGACGACGATTACTACGAGACTCAATACTATGGGCGAGAACGTCCATCAGGCCTTCGGGGAGGCGCAGCATACGAAGATGAGTACTCAGAAGGCGATGATGCGTATTTCCACTCAAGGCCACCTCAAAGGACGCAGGCGATGGGCTCGACCCAGTTTGATGACGGCTCTGTGCCGCCCCAAGCGTTGAAGCCATTCATGCGGACGCCAACTGGCCTCTCAACCAAGCAGATGAAGAAGGCAGAACAGTATGAGGTGGACCTCGAAGGCGGGCTGGATATCTGTCTCAACGTCGAAGTCAATCCCAAGGATCCCACCGGCATCACTGTGCCATACCGATTACTAGTTCCAAAGCTCTTCTATGAGTACTCATCCGAAAAGGATGACATCCCAGAAGAGCAACCGAATGCATTCAAGAGATTTTTGAGTTTCAAGAAGAAGGAAAAGAAGCCGGGCGAGAATCAACAGAATGACTACTACGACGAGACTGAAGAGGATTCTGACGAACAAGAGAGCCAAGTAGATCCGAGGTCTTGATTGAAGAGAAAATAAAACGGGCATGTGGCGTCTCTGTTCTTTCTATGAGGGTGTAGGTTTTTTTGTAGAATCTGGGTGGAATGTTGGAAAGCTGCATGGAATGCACGACTTGTATGATTGAACGAATGGGTTTGGGAGTTAAAGTAATGATGCAATGAATACATGTAGCTATTTTTCTTGGATATCAGGCCAAGCTCGAACACAAACAATGGCATTATTGTCTATCAAGTCTCATCCGTCTGTGACCCTACAAACGTCAGCACAGGTGACGGGAGGCTACCTACATTAATTATGTGGCAGAGCGCCCCAGAATGGACCCTGATTGCAGTGGGTCCTCTCCAGTGCAGTGCCTGGAATTAACCCGTATTGTTTTAGCCTTTTTCCGCAGTGGCGACTGGGTTTGTTCCGCGGCAGAATTGGACCTACGTAATTCCCACGATACACCAATCAGGAGCATCCATTGCCTCGATTCACCTCCAATTTCCAACCACGTCTGTCGTTTGCAAGGTATCCTTTTTGCTATAATCCCCCCGTCGTTCGATGAGTTCATTCATTTGATTGATATTTCCCTTTAATTCTCCTACGCGTTTCTCTTGAGTTTGAGTTTATAGGCGCGAGATTGTATTGTATTGAATATCCTCCGGCTGGCCGCGATCCCCCTCTTCCCCTTGCTCGCCATTCGACCAAGCAACGCCTCCTTCATCAAAAGAAACGAAGCCGGGCGCCTGACCGACGGGGAATGGCCACGGCGAAATGCCTCACTATGATGCATCCGTAGCCGACCAGATCACATATTACCTGAGTGCCAAGGGCCAGCGATTATGGACGTGGGCCAAAGGACCTGGCCGACAGAGGGCGACATGGCTATCCCTCGCTGCGATCCATCAGCTGCGTAGGAACCTGACCTCGAGGCGGCTGTGGAGCTTCCCGCACTTGGTTGTTGTTTTCTGGGTCTTGATTCTGCTCTGGGGCGAGCGATGGGTGTTTGACAGCAAGGTTGCGAGCTGCGATTGGGATCACTGGGAGAACTGGGTAGGTGGTGATGCCCCTTGTCTGCGCATCACGGTGGACTATCTGCATATGGAAGGCTTCTTTGACTAACGCATCTAATCCAGCCCAAGGGCGCAAACCCGCATCACCTCGTCTTCATCGCCGACCCCCAGATTATCGATCCTCACAGCTATCCAGGGCGCCCCTGGGTGCTCTCGGAGCTGACCATGATCATCACCGACAACTATCTCCTTCGCGGCTACAAGTCCCTCCAGAGACGCCTTAGCCCGGACACGGTGATGCTTCTCGGCGACCTCTTCGACGGCGGGCGGGAGTGGAAGACGCACCGCGGCGAGTTCGTCGACCCGCGGTGGGGGAGGCAGCGCTCGCGCGACGAGGCCAAGTGGGTGGACACATGGCACCGGAAGTACGGCGAGGAGTACTGGCTGCGAGAATACAAGAGATTTGGAAACATCTTCTTTGACCATTGGGCTGATGGCGGGGACGCACCGGGGGCTTGGCAGCGAGGGAGGAAGTTGATCGCCAGCTTGCCTGGGAACCATGATCTCGGGTTTGGCGCCCAGGTCCAGGTACCAGTGCGGGATCGCTTCAGTGCCCACTTTGGAGATCTGAACCGGGTGGATGTTGTTGGAAATCATACATTTGTGTCGGTTGATACACTCTCGCTCAGCGCTGCCTCATCCGAGTTTGCTGGCGCCCACGATCTGTCGCCGATATACGGACCGGTCAACAGGTTCCTCAAGGGGGTCCAGGCTTCTAAGCGAAGGGCTGTGAAGGCGGAACTGAGTGCCTGGCACGACAGCGCTGAAAACCTCAAGTACCCGCACGATGTTGAAGAACTGGAGCTCAGCGCCGACCCTGAAGGGTTTCCCCCAACCGACCCTGGTGCTGACGCTGTCGAGTTCCCTACCATCCTTCTCACGCATGTTCCCCTCTACCGCGAGCCCGGAACACCTTGCGGGCCGCAGCGCGAGCATTGGCCCCCCACGAAGCCCGCCAAGGGCGAGACTGGGCCGACGATACCAGATCATCGAAATGCGATTTCAGTATCAGGTGGTTACCAGTACCAGAATGTTTTGGACGAATCCCATTCGGTGAAGCTGGTCAAGGACGTCGGCAACGTTGTGCAGGTCTTCTCCGGCGATGACCACGACTACTGTCAGCTGGTTCATACCGAATCACAGGGCAATGTGCCCGAGATCACAGTCAAGAGCATGAGCATGGCCATGGGTGTGCCAACACCAGGTTTCCTCATGGTCAGCCTCTACAACCCGGTGGATGAGGATGGAAATCGCATCCCCGGCGCGCCAGAGAAGACGCTGCAGACACACCTGTGCCTGCTGCCAAATCAAATACACACGTACATCAAGTACGTCGCCTTTATCATCCTGAGCCTTGTGGTTCTAATCCTCCGGGCCGTTCTTGTGCCGGTCCTGGACCTGAGCCGGTTCGCGCTGGAGAAGAACGACATTCCCGAATTCAAATACAGCAACACCCTCCCGATATCCACCAAGGATAAGGTCGAGCCCCCTGATCTACGGTCACCTACGCTGGGATCATCATCCACGTCCATGTGGCCTGGCGCGGGCAATTCCACCCTATCATCCAACGGGCGATGGCAGCCTGCTCAGAAGGGAAAACGTCGGTGGACAAACGGTCCACGGATCAACCTCGACGAGGCATTCTACGACCCGCGGCAGACGGAGGTCGGGAGCAGCAAGACACTGGGCGTTGTTGGGAAGGAGATCTGGACCACGGTCTGGAGAGTCGCGTGGATGACGGTCCTGTTCTGGGTCTACCTGGCCAGAGAGAAGTGATGGAAAATGAGTTTGCACGCCACAGCAGCGGCATGCCTTGATCTCTCCCTCAAGGCCGGGTTTTTGTATTCTACAACTAATGTACTGTTGATGAGTTCCTGGGGTTGGGGGGTTACTATTCATAAAAAAGAAGACGGGTGATTTGCATTTACAGCGTTGGGAAAGCATCGAGTCTATGGTATATTTTGGGGCCTTTTTTCAGGGTGCTCTCTCTCTCTCACCTTCAGGAATATAGAAGCGGCACGATATCAGTTTCCATAGTATTTCCAAGATATTGTGTAATAGATTACCAAGTTTTGTGTGTAATGGAACCCGGGCCACGTCGGATGCCGCAACATCCTGATCTCGTGTCAATCCCAGTCTCTCATTTCACCCTGCGTTCGCGGTCCGGATCCGAGGCCCTTCAGGATCAAACCAGCATCAGAGGCAGAGAACACCACTTTGGGTCAATAGCACGCATTCACTCCAGGGGGACCACATCACATGTTGCCGCGGGGGGGGAGGGAAAAGAAGGCGGGAGGATCGCCCCAAGCTAGGGGCGTTTTGATATACGAGACCACCAATCTTGGAAAGAGGCTGCCTGAACGCACACACCTCCCCTCCCCCCCAAAAATGGGCAGGAGGCTGGATAAAGATGGCTACATACACGTGCATGGGGAAAAAAGGACCCGGGTCCGATCCTCCGAGAATAGCACCGCACTGCTGTTCTGCCCGGGAAGCTCTCTCTCAAACAACCCGGGGGGAGCTGGGCCGCAGTTGAGAAACAAAACGATTCTGGGAACAATGGTGGGCTAAAAGGACAAGGCTAGGATTTGGGCGTGGCTAAGTGCGATTATCACAAGAGGCGAACTTCTTCAGACCAAAAAGCGAAGGTAGGAAACAATAGAGTTGCTTGATCCAGGCTGGCTGGGCCCGGCGGTGCTGTTTTGAGAAGAAGGCAAGGGAAACAAACAAACACCCCCCTAGCCCGAAACGAGAATAAACGAAACAGAAAGGCGAAAAAGAAGAGGAAAAAGGGCGAAACCGAAGCAACCTTCCCGATCAAGCACCGCGTCTCCTCCCCACGCCGATTCTCTCCTCGCGTGCCCGCCGAAGCACGTCCTCCGCGTTGGGGCTGCCGGAGGCGGTGGCATCTCCCCCCTGCTGCTGCTGCTGCTGCCGTTGCTGCTGGTCGAGGGCTATGGCCTCGCGGCTGCGGCGGTCCTCGTAGGCCGCGACGTCCTCGGACGTGATGGTGAGGGAAGTGGCCGGGCGGCGAAGCATGGTTTTTTCCCTTGTTGCCCTGCGGCTCTTCTGCAATGGTTCCTGGTTTGTCTCCTTTGGTGGTTGTTGGCGGGGTTTTTTCTTGGCGCTGAGGATCGACAGCTATGTCCTGGCCTTGACTTCTTTTCTTAGGGCCTGGCTTACTACTCGGTTTCCTCTTCTTGGATAGCCAAAAGGGTTGTGGGTTGAGGAAATGTCCTGTGTAAGAAGACGGTGTGTGGGGGGCAGATGCGTGTTGGTTGGCGCTTGTTGTGTCCGTCCCGCCAAAGTGGAAGAAGAACAGCGGCGCTTGTTGGTTCGGTTTGCAGCCAACAAACAAACTCGCCCTCCATCTTAATTTAGAGCACCGCTGCACCCAACAGGGCAGGGCCTTTTTCTCCCGAGTGGGCTGTATTAGTCAATGCCATCCATGGACAAAACGTAAGTATGTAGGCAATATATTAAATTCCCGGCTTACGTTGGGGAGGGACCCCTCGGCTCTTGCAAGGCGGCTCAGCTCGGGGCCTGGCCTGGCCTAAAAATAATGAACTGCATTGCATGCATGCACTTTCTCACAGCCTCCCGCGAAGCCCCACGCGACCGTCTAACCTCACCCTCGTTAGGCAGCCAGCTGAGAATTCCTCCCCCAACCCTTGTAGGATAGGATAGCATAGCGTAGAGGATTTGCATGGTGCAGACCACCACTTCGCACTCGCTAGTGGTATCGGCAGGCCATGGATGCTGTCACAGACCCGGCGCGGTGGCGGTGGGTTGTCTCACCAGTTAGTGGTGGTGAGGGGAAGCAGCAGAAGTGAGCGATCCTCACGCGATTGCGCTGGGCTGCATACAGCCCTAGATGTCCAAGATGGCAATGCTACGTGCCCAAGGTAGCATCGAGTCCAAGAGGCGCATCCAGCCTCCGCCTCCCACACGTGTTTCACTGCTGTAGATCTGGCGCCAAGGCATATCGTTGTCGAGAATCGACGCGATGCTGCGCTGACGTCTGGGATGGTTTCCGGAAGGTTGCAAGTTGGTCAAGGCACACCTCCCGAGTGAAGCCTAAACTCTCCCCTGTTACTGTCCAACTGATGGCAGATAGACATTCGAGGATCAGTTGCTGGCCTACGCAATCAGCCCTACGTCTGTTTGTCAAATCGAAGTCAGTGAGAATGAGGATATACGCGGGCATCGCATCAAGCATCACAAATAGACACAATTAAGTTTGTTTGTAATTTCGATTTTTATATTTTTCTATCCATTTTTTGGACTGATAAATAAATCAAATGCCAGAGGATCAATGGAAATGCTCATTGTCATAGCTTGTTAACGTAGATGTGTACACGCCGCTCTTTGGGTTCCCTCATAAACAGTTTGGTATCATTATAAACATAGGAAAGAAAGCCAGACCAGTTTGGAATGCCAGCAATAAAATAAAAAGGGGAGGAGGGAGAAGAGAAAAGGAAAAGAAGCGAAATCAAGAACCTCCGCGTGCATTATGATATGACGCCGGACCGGTTCGGCTAAAGAGCAGGATGAAAAAAATATAAAGGTGAAATAAAAACCAGAAAGAAGAAGCAGAATAAACGAGTTGGCTGTATGACCCAAATATGCATGGTTTGAATCAACGCCGTATTCCCATGATCAAACTCCGTGTATGGCCGGGTTAGACAAAGAAAAAAAGACATAGGGAATATATAGTTGTAATAGTTTGCGATACCAGCTTCGGAAAGCGGTACCGAGTAAGAGGCAACACTGTGTTTAATGAGCCCCGTAGTAGCCAACGCCAAAGGCTTGTGCCTCCCACTGGAGGAAGTCGCCCAGGTCGTTGTGTAGATTGTAACCCATCTGGGCTTGCTCCTCATGGTGGAGGTCATCATCGAGGACATCGCCATCGTCGCCGCCAAGGACCAAGGGCTCCATTGGGCTGCGAGGGGATACGACAGATCGGGGTGATGCGATGCCCTGCTTTGGGTCGGCGTGCATGAGCGCCATAGGTGGGGGGGTAGATGCGCGATTCATCTTGGGTGCACCGTCCAGTGTCCATGAGCGCAGACCAGTGCTTCGGAAGAACTTGGTGCTATCGAACTGGCTGGGGTCGGCGGTGGCGAACAGAGGCTGTGGCTCATCGACAGATGCGATTGACAAGTCTCCCTCGGATTCAACCGAGGAGATTGTGCTGTGGGAAGATCGCGGTGAAGGGATAAGCTCCGGGATGAGCATACCAGCATGCTCGAAGCCGAAGTGGTCAAACCATGAAGCAATCTCCTCGGTAAGTCGGATGTCCTCGTCCTCGAACATGTCGCTATCCATGTCGCCAGCACCAAGGATGGCCATCTGAAAGGCAGTCCAGTCCAGGGTCTCGTCCATCGTCACGGCGGCCTTGTCGGCCTTGGGAAGGGTGATTCGTCCATGGCGGAATGCGGGGAGGGTAAGGGAGAAAGGAGTGCTCTTGAGGTAAATATGATCCTCATCCTCCTCCGGCAAAAACTCGTCGCTGAATTTTCTCTTGAGTTTGGCACCCTTGGGAAGATCAGGGAGCTTCTGGGTAGGAGGCGCTCTCAAGGGGGCGATGAACTCTGCCTCAACACCCTCGGGGACGGCCAGGAGGTCGACAGTTGCGAGGCCTCTGTCACTTTCGTCGCCCAATACGTGGGCGATGTTGGCATCGTCCTGGACGTAATCGCTGGAGAGGAGAGGCGAGACAGCAAATTGAGCTGGCTGCTCCGGGCCTCCAGGTGATCCAAATGATTGAGGTGACAACTCGGGAGTGACGATTGAGGCATTGGCAATGGCCAGTGCGGTAGCTTCCCTGGCATCGTGCTCACGGAGAGCAGCAGCCTTGGCTGCGGCAGCCTCAAGCTCCAGCTTGGCCAATGTTTCTCTCTTTACGGCCTCGTGGCATTCCTTGTTGTTCTTTGCAATCTGCTTCCTGCGGACCATCTCGCGTTCCTTCTTCAGGAGGGCAAGCTGCTGAGGCGTCAGCATCTCGTCGACTTCGACTTTGCGGAAGCCTTTGCCAGTGAAGAGATCCGTCATGTTGTCAGGCAGCGCCCAGCGTGCAACTTTTGAAGTGACGGGTCGAGCCCATGACTTTCCTTCGCCGGAGCCGCTCTTGTTGCGAGTGTGGCCCTTCTTCATGGTGCTTTCATGGCGACCAATCTTGGGTAGTCGGGGGCTCATCTTGGAAGGTTTAGGTAGGGGAGGTGTCATGTTATGCGAGATGTTTAGCAGGTGCTTTTGGGTAGTAGGAGTGAGAGCCTTTGTGGGAGTGATGGGCAATGCCTTATCCAACGACGCCTTTCGCACAGCGATCGGGGGTGGTACAGAGCGTGATTTTCTCCTCTCAGCCAAGTCGGGAATGGCCTGTTCCCTGGGTCTCCGGGTGGGCATTTCTTGCGAGGGTCTGGGCTCCTGCTCTGGTTCCTCGGGTTGCTCCTCCTCGACTGGTGGCTGTTGTGGCTCGATTGGCTCTTCTTCTACCACTAATTCCTCCTCGTACTCTTCGTCCTCCTCTTGCTCTTCTTCCTCGGATTCAGATTCATCCTGGGGAGGGTGAACCACCAACCTGGGAGAGACAAGTTCGGGGTTAGAGATATTCAAGTGGCCATCGAGTAACACGGACTCCTCAAATCGAGGGAGATCGAGGCTCGTGGAGAAACCGGCGAAAGAAGATCCACCGAATTCAAATGCTTGATCCGTTTCCATGATGAGCTGTCGGACACCCTCCGACCATTCTCTGGCGTAGGGTGTGCTGTTCATTGGTACTACCGTTAATGATAGCGATGAGTGATTTGAGTGAAGGTTGAGAGGCTCTATTTGAGGCGACTTGAAGGTAGAGATGGTTGGTGAAGGACTACGAAGAAAGGAGTCCATTGCTTCCTCGTCTTCCTCCTCTTCTTCTTCCTCCTCCTGGTCCTCGATCTCCATCTCCTCCTCCTCGATCACTTCAGTCTCCTCCTCCTGCACTCTGGGCGCATCCATTGATCGCTTGGAATGGTCAAGGTGAGACATGTCCAGGAGGGGACTCCGAGGTCGTTCCGGTACTGTTGATGATGGACCTGAGCCCGAACCAGATCGTCGCCGGGGAGTTGTGATTTGAGGTGAGGGTGCTGACTGGATAGGTGCTGAGATGGTGAGACGAGTCCTTACACCCTCGGACTGATGTCGCTGGTGAGCTGTTAAGTAGTGGTGTTGTAATGTGCTCCGGCCGGCGTCCACGCTACTCCGGACCGATACACTAGGTGATGCTGATCCTCTTCGGGTGGCCATGAGGGAGGCCAGGCTCTTCTTTGATAGTTGGGATAGTGATGAATGTTCTGAGAATGAAACGGCTTCCTCCTCGGGAATGTCCTCGGTGTGTTTGCGCGTCTGTATCAGCTTTCTTAAGCTAAAAGCTGGAGCGCCCATGTTGGAAGGCATGATGTCGCGCTACCGCTCTGCGGTGAGGGATGTGTTTCAGTGTAAGTTGCTTGACTCTATTATGGGAAAGGAAAGAAGGAAGGAAGAGGATGGATCATGGTATGTAGGCGATCGAAGGAAGAAAAGGGAAACAAAGACAAGGCCGAAACGCTGGGATATCGCGTGATGGATCCTGTCAGTGCGTAGGGACAATGAATTGTTGGTAGAGGGTATCTTGTTGGCAGCTGGACCCGGGAATCTCGAAGCCCATCGGCCAACGGAACATGATATGTAAGATGGGTAGAAGAGAGATCAGAAAATAGGTCTCTGGGTCCGGGACAAGAATCCGTAGGGGAGGGGAAGAGCTTTGAATAGTATCAGATCAGATGGGGACCCGTCAGTAAGCAGCGCTGTATTAGGGAAAGGGCGATGAGGGGAGTGCGGTCTGCGGCATTGCAGAGACGGAGGGCCAGCTAAGGCAGAGAGCGAGCATCAAGGTGATAACTGGGGGCCATGGTGCGAAGATGGGTGGCGAGGCGCAAGGGCGAAGGCCCTGTTCGATGCGGACGGCAGCGGGACATGCTCGATGGGGTGGGAGAAATGCACGACGCACGAAGCTGGGGTGGTGGTTGGTGCATTGGGCCTTGGGATCGAGGATGTGAGCGGAGTCTTGGTGCCAGGTGAGGTGAGGTGAGCTGAGTTGATGGAAGGATGGGATTTAGAGGGACAAGGAGGGGGGTAGGGCGTGTGTCTACGAGAAGCACCGAGGCGGGGCGGATCCCCGTGCCTTTGCGGGCGGCGGTGTGTACCTCTGCATACAGCAACTGCGGGCGCAGTACATGGCCCTGCGCTCTGCCCACATCATTGTTCTAGTGGGCTAAATTGACTGCATAGCAGACAACTTATTACTAGTCCAGCAGTCTCGAAACCCACTGGCTTGGCTTCCAGTGTCTTTATTTAACCCAGCTAGCTGCTTTGCGCATGGGCAGGTACGTGAATTGCAGCCCGGAAGGGAAATGGTCGCAGTGCAGAGCCTAAAATAAAGTCAATGGGCATAGCACACTGCATGAGCAGGCAAGCAAGCAAAGCCTCGATGGGAGATGGCCCTCGTATCTGCTGTGACGACGGCCTGGCAATTGGAAGTGATTTGCGCACCGCGCCAGAGGGTGGTGGGTATGTGATAGAGGCGTTGACGTCGCCGTACAGGTGTATTAATTTCGTATCGCGGGCAGTGGAAAATCTCTCAGGGACAAACGTCACTGCCTAGAGCTCCCTTAGGATTCCCCCTCCCTCGCCCGCGAGGCCGACGCTGGATGGTCGAGCTGGTAAATTGTAAGGGCCGGCACTTTGCCAGGGAAAAGCCCCCAATGCGTAAGTGAAGGAATGAAAAGTGCAGGGGGCCCCTCTCAAAGCCGTACCACCCCCGACCAGTTGACGTACTCGGCTGCTGCACCAGACACCACCTCGAATCCTTCGGGCATCGGGCTGACGTTACCTAGCCTCCTCTGGTTGGCTGTGGCCCATATTCGGTTTGTCATGAACAGGGCCCTTCCTCATTGGGGAAGTCGATTCACTTTCTTGATTTCGACACCAGTGAAGCCTCCAGCTCTGCGCTGTACAGCATCGTAAGTTAGTGCGTATTCGTAAGGTGTGTGCCTCTTGGCATCTGCGTCTATCTCCAGGAGAGACACACATGTGCTCACTCTCGCTCTGCGCCGCTCTCAGTGGCCAAAGTGGTGGGTAAACACGTCCATCATCCAGTGGCCGACTCGCAGTTCCCGACCCCCCGGGACCACTAAGGTGCTGAGGCCATCAAGCGTTCATGCATTTGCTTTTTTTCTCCTTTGATTTGCTTACTCACTTTCCGATTCACTCCCAGTTCGTTTTGCCGGTGAGAGCGGAATGTTAATATTACATACACAGTCAGCAAGAACAGGTTCAATCCCGGACCTGGAGCGTGCGCCGGGGTTTGCCAAATTAGATAAACGAAATTCCCTAATCCGGTATAAAAAATCTATACTTCAGATTATCGTGAACTCGGTCGAGAAATGATGAGGCAGCACGAAGTCAGCCCTTATTTCCTTGCTGTCCGCCTTTGCTTTTTCACCGTTGGTCTTCTGGCGCGGAAATGGATAAATGCAAGCCACTAGCACTGGATTAATTACCGTGGGGTCGTCATGCCGTAAGATCCATCATATTATCCAGCGACAAAGAGCCAAGCAATCGGCTAGGATATTACTTGCTCCAGTTGCCTTACCTCGCTGCCGGCGGTACCGTTGAGTGCAGTGGGGCTTGCCGTTTCCTTCAGCTACGGCCCTGCGCTACTCAGGAAGGCTAATCAGTTAGTGCCTTACCTAAGGTAGCAGTTGAGGGCTCAGTATCCTCCATCGCATCCAACTGCTACCACCAAGCCAGCGCTGGACCGCCACTGCGCATATGTTTGTGACAGCTGAGCCAGAAGTCCCTCCAGTTGGCGGCTAGTACCACTTGGATCATCCCACTATCCAGCAACTGTGCATCCAAGCGAGTTGGTTGGGAGCTCAGCTGGCACGTTGTGAGCGCAGCGCGTCAAATCCAGAGCATGCAGGGCGGGTATTCTCGCCTGTTGGTGGTTGCATCGTCTCTCGGCGCCTGTTGTCTCGACCTGAAGGCGGCACCGAACCGCACCGCCCCCAACAACATTTTACTCGTGTGACTTTTGCCCTTTTGCCCAGCATCCCGCCAGCTATCCGTCCCGAAAGTCCCAATACCGCATATGCCGGCGTCCAATAGTACAATATCTTGCAAATGCATCTCGGATGTAGGGACGCAGTAGTCGTCTCTTTTGGGGTCTGGTGGTGGCCCTGATGCGCCACTCAATTTTGGGATTCGCTGCTGCAAGAGTTCAATTGCCTATTGCACTCATGCCCGGGCTACGGATCGCATGTATTTAGCCCAGCAATCAATACCCGACAATCATTACGGCAAACAGGCATGCGAACGTGAAGGTGTGCGAACTGCTGATGGGGCTGACCCCTGCCACTCGCATTGCCCTTGAGAATGACAGCCGTCTCCTCATCCACAGGATCTGGTATCCGTTCGCGGGTCTGTCTACGTGACCAGCTCCAACCGGTGGGGGCCAATTACTATTATCAAGTATTAGGAGAGAAAAAATTGTTCGTCTATAGCTCCGCTGCTAAGAATTCGAAAGGGCAAAAGATTGACTGAGCAGGCAGCGCAAAGGGAGGAACGCGTTGGGCCATGTGGTGTTCCAGCCAACAGGATACCTATTAGACAAGAGACAATCCCCGGGTTACCCAGAGAGTAGCATAGCGCGGAAACCGAAACAGCGTCACGCAATGCAACTACGACTCCCTACCTCCAACAAGCACACCTACATTTCATACCACCGTGGCATGTGTGATTGGCCAGCCGAGGCCACCCCGAGATCAGCGTGCTCTCGGCCACAGGCAGGGCGAGCCCAGCCGAGAACAAGGCGAGGGAGATGAAATGCTGGAAATCGCACGAGGGGTCCACAGATGGACGAAGGCTCTATTACCTGCATTGCCTAGCGCGCCGAGCCATGGATAGAGACGTGCCGACCGAGATGCCTACTGCCTAATTCACGACATGTTAATCGGCGCGACCATGAGGCACAGGCAAGCGGCTCATCCCTTACTCCATCGCCCTTTGCCTCTCGCCCCAAGGCCAGCAGGTGTTCGTGGGTAGCCTCAGCCAAGCCTGGAGACTGCCCACTCTGCTCGCTATCACGTTGCGTCCAGTCATTGGCGTCCGGGTGGAGGGATGGCTGGGCCAGAGCTAGCGCCGAGAAGGAATCGATCGATTCTGGCTACCTCAAATCCTAATCCGGAAGCTAGCAGAGAGGCAAGCGATTGACGGTAGGGTCCGTCCTGTGGATGCAGCTGCTGTGCCTTTTCGCCAGAGGAGCTGCCGTGAGGAGAAGGTAGCCTTGGGGCAAAGACGGGCCAGACCATGTGTCTGCTCAGTCGGACGGCACCATCTAATCTCCGCGCCCTCGGCCTGAGCGAGCAGAGGGCAGCCATCGTGCTATCAACCTGATACACATCCACAAGTTAGAGTGCAGCAGGAGAGCATCCCCAGGTGCAGAATGGAGCGTGATTGCTATGGTGCAACCCACCAGTTGTGGCAACAGAGTGTGATTTGGGGACCAGCTATAGTCAATTGAGATGGCTTCTGCAACACGAGGACACCACCACCGGCCACTGGAAACAGGGCCCCGGGCGATGTGCCGCTGATCTGCTACACGCCGTCGATGCAACTGTATCAGAATGCCTATATTACATGTTTGGGGAAACTCCCGAGAAACCACCATCGTCCCATCTCTATCCCATCACATTCATTTCCCCTTCTTCACCTCTTCGCTTCCGCAGACCTCACCTATCTGGCCCGCGACAGCTGCAACGTTGGAACCACCACCACACACCAGAGACCCAACTGCTTCGGGTGCGGAGGCCGCCATTACCGGTCCGGTTCAGCGCCGTCGCAAGTCAATTCCATCTGTCCCTTTTTCCCCCAAGTTTTCGAGCGATCCACTGGCCGCTGTCAACTACCCCCGATGTGGATAGCTTCATCCTCACCGACTCAGGATATCGCGCTGTCAAGCTCTCTAGCTCTGCTGCTGGGCTTTGGATACCGGGCTTGACGTAAATCCGCACCGTTCTTTGTCCCTCACATGACGATAAGTCGTTCCATGCCCTCGTCATTGGTGCGCTGGTGCGTATTACTGTCCAGCCCGCGCACACCCCGTAATACAGTCCCCCAGGGATTTCCCACACGCCCCAGCCCCCCGGCCCTGAGCCAATCCTTGGTCCCAAGGAGATGCACAACAGCTCTGTTAGTAAGACGCCTATCAAATGGGAAATGCCGTCCACGTTGACCCCTGCCCACTTATCGTCTCCCAAGCACGATTCCACCCAGGGCCTGCCCGCATCCGGTAAATCTAAACCGCTAAGTTGTTGGTTCGTGGGCTTCATGCCAAAAATAAAAGAGAAACAACATGCCAAACTATCCCGGCTTCGATCATGAACCACGTTTTCCATCTTGGCATCTACTCATCCAATTCCCCGGTCCAGACGGACGTTGGAAATAGCAACAAAGAGGGGAAAAGAAGAATAAACATCACCACGTTTTCTCGTTCCCCATAGGTTAGATCGCAGACTCGGATAGCCGGTGTGGTGTTTTTTTTTTAGAACCACACAGCCTTGCTGTGCTATCCTCTCCTTCGGGTCGTCTAGTGCTCGTACTGTTGGTCCGTACTGTTGGTCCGTACTGTTGGTCCGTACTGTTGGTCCGTACTGTTGGTCCGTACGCTCCGTTGGTTTAAGGGCCCGTAAGGCCCCGTTGGTGATTCAACATCTCAGCCCTCTGCCTGATGTCGTCCGCAGATACGACAAGGCAGCCCGGCTGGGCACGTAGCCCTCCATCTCGGAGTCGCACCACGAGGCGCCAGAGGACCGCTTGTGCCTGGAGCACTCCCCCTTGGTGTCTCGGGCGCCCTCGATCCTCTGACACTCGAGCAGCGGCTCGTGCTCCTCGTCCTCGTGGCGGCGCTCCCCCGCAGCCACGGCCTTGTTCCTGCTGCTGCTCCTGCAGCCACAGGCGGTGCCCCAGCAGCCCGCGAACCAGTCAGTGACGGTCCGGAGCCACGCGTGCGGCCTCGCTGACGTAGTGGTGGTCATCCAGTGTCCGCTTCGGGACCTGGTCATAAGCCTAGGCTGATCTTTCCGATGCAGGAAGCCGGAGAGTGAATGCATGCTGGGCTGAATTCTTGCTCGTAAGGCTTAGTGGTTGCTACCTTGATGCGTGAATGTAACTCTCGACGTAGAATGGGGATATCAGTTGATATACGATGGACGAATAAGATGAATTGGTGATGGGCGACGATCAAGTTGTTCAATGTCGTAATCGATGAGCAAGCCTGAGGTAGTTGCACATCTCGACATCATATCGTTAACCACCGCGCCTCTTATAACTTAAAATAAAAGAAACGACATCTGAGACACGAGACATCTAGCCTCCTCAAGTCGCGTCCACAGAATGGCTCCCTTCCTCGCGATGCAATGTGCTTCGAATCAAGATGGCTGATTCATTCCACCCATAGGGTAGCATCAGCCTCCCCGATTGCTGACCCCCTCGCAAAGGTCTCAGACAAAATTTGCCGAGACTTACATGAAAGCTAGTCTTGATGTAGGGTAAAGGTCTTAAAACGACGAGCAGACGCCAATAAGCATTAAGAAACTTTAAGACACGATCTAACTTTCCGTGGAGACCGACGCAGGCCCCAGCGTCCCAATGGCATCACCAGGCTGGGAGTGGTATGGAGATATGCCGGCGGCTGGGGGAAAACCTGTCACATCAATCAGGAGAGCAGAATCACGAAAGAAGATGTATGGAGAGATGTCTACGACTCGGCCACTTTACACGGTAAATCCATTCCAACCGCCGGCAACCCTTCCCAGAAACAGTCCAGGAGCACCAGATTCGCCTTACAATTCCTCGTCTTCCTCTCCGCCGTCCTCATCCCCGTCATTCTGGATGAATGGCACAAACCGAAAGTCCAAGAAGCTGTGCTTGTCCCCCTCTGTTATTACCATGAGCTGTAGATTGAGAACACCCTGTCGGTCTCCACGAAGGCTGACCTTGCTTGCAATGCGCATCCCTTCAGTAGAGTGTTTTATGAAATCGAACTTGTAACTCTGCGAAAACCGTTCCTGAATGCTGAAGGTCTCCATCAGGTCCCTCCCGCGTGCAAAGTCGACGGCCGAGCTGCCAAGATCCCCAACACCCGCCAAAGACAGATATGGTGATCCCCTGGACGCCGTGATGGTCAATCTGCTAGGGCTGGTCGGCGTAATTTCCGACAAAGAATCAAGAAGGGAGCGTGCCTGCATTATAATCTTGAAGCTCATGTCGTCGCGGTCAAAGGGAATTTCATCAGGAATCTCAGGGACGTATGTCGTAAGTGCGGCTGTGGTCTTAACGCCCGATTCCTCAATGGTAATCTTGAACGAATCTCCCTCCTCCGTGTACAGAAAAGTGCATGTTCCAGCTAGGCCGAGAGCATGGTTACTGAAAGCATCAGGGCGATAATTGCGGAAATTACTTCGGTAAGAGTCTTGATCTGCCTTCTGTGCTCGTGTCGCCACGTCCACGGCGCCGAAAATCTGGATAACTTCCAGGAGAGAGCCGAGAGGGATTTGAAAGTTCACAGGCGTAGGTGATTCTTCACCCTCCTCCCTCGGTAGATTAACGGTATAAGAATAAAAGAGATCGGAACCAAGAAAGGAAACACCTATCGAGCTTGTGAGAAATGTCACGTTGATATCAGGGGGACAAACAAGGAAATGCCTACCTTGCATCACACGTGAGAGGTCCGCCGTAAAACGTATACCCTGCTCAGTGATTTGAACGTGCACTCTTGGGGCAAAGTCGATGCAGCGGAGGAGTTGGTACAAAGGCCGCGTGGACGTTGCAACGGCCCGGAAGATGGGTGGATTTTCAGTCGCCATGTTCTATAGAACCCTGGGGAGTGCTCAGAGTGCTATGCCGATTCTGAAATGAGAAATGAAACAATGAAATGATGAAATGGAAAGTATAGGCGTTCGTTCAATGGCTTTCTTCTGGTCTTCAACTATTGTACAGTGGAACTGGCCGAACCGAGCTTCTTCTCGGGCGCTTCTTCTCGAAAAGGGTATCTTTAAACGTAAACTCCGACTGCGCAGAACATATACACCGTTCCGACCCTGTTTGCTTTGTGAGTATGGTTTTCATGTTGTTTCCAAGGCGAAAGCGGGATAAGACGAACGCAATAGCTGCTGAGGCAGGGACACCGAGGAGCGGGACGTTGAGTAGCGAACGGTCTAAGGGGAACTGTTTAGCTTGGATGTTGAAAGAAAGGAAAGTAGCCAGCCTTGTCAGGAACCTACTCAGCGCAAAGTAACCCGTGAATCCGATTCCAATGAGGAGCAGCAAGAACGCGACGGTGAACTGGCTCTCCTTGCCAATTGTGGGAAGAAAGGGACTGCCAGCAGCAGCTTGCCAGACCTCATGCAAGGAAGAATCCATATGTGACTAACGTGAGACCGAGTTATTTATCGAATTCGATTGGCGGGTGATGGCGCTTTCAATGGGTAGTCGTGGCAATGGGGAGTATGCGGATAGTGAGCTTCTGGTGAAGTTGGAGGTTTCGTTCATCAGCAAAGGGCCAGCAGCTGTTTACCATTATCGACATCTGGCCGATAGCCCAAATAGGCTTAGATCGGATACGCGGCTCGAAGCTCTAACCGCCTGCGGTAGAGTGTGGGACACGGTGGGCGAGATATCCGATATCATTGGCTTAGGCACGGACCCACGCCTCGACATCTGACGTCGCGCCTGAGTAAAGTAGTGAAGCGGGAGCTCGAGATGCTTCTCTATTTGCTATGCGACAGCATCCGTGTACGCCTTACGAGCCACAGCCGCCGCATCTCGAGCAGTGCGTCCCCAGAGCAACCCATACACTATGACTGTGAAGGACGATGGTAAGCATTCGGATTTCCTATACACCCGCTACGCAAAAGCACCGCGCTGACACCGTGCCAGGCGCAAAACGCAAGGCTGAGGAGGAGCCTTCGTCCCCCTCAGCATCGAAGCGCATCAAGCAAGACCAGGATGCCACCGAGGAGGTCGACAGAAAGGGCATGAAGCCAATCCCATTCCCAGAGAAGGTTCGTCGGCTCACCCTTCACCCTACCGCCTGGCTTCTAGGCAGCCAGTGCTAACATCCTCACCCAGCCGGCCGTCATCGAAGAACGAAATGGCGAAATAGAATTCCGCGTGGTGAACAACGACGGCGACCGCGAGTCTCTCATCATCCTCACCGGCCTGAAGTGCATATTCCAAAAGCAGCTGCCCAAGATGCCCAAGGACTACATCGCTCGTCTAGTCTATGACCGAACCCACCTCTCTATCGCCATCGTTAAGAAACCATTGGAAGTAGTTGGCGGGATTACCTACAGACCGTTCAAGGGACGTCGTTTTGCCGAGATCGTATTCTGCGCCATCAGCTCCGACCAGCAAGTCAAGGGCTACGGTGCCCATCTCATGTCGCATTTGAAGGACTACGTCAAGGCCACAAGCGACGTCATGCACTTCCTCACATATGCCGACAACTACGCCATCGGATATTTCAAGAAGCAGGGCTTCACCAAGGAGATCACACTCGACCGCAGCGTATGGATGGGCTATATTAAAGATTACGAGGGAGGAACAATCATGCAGTGCTCCATGCTGCCTCGCATCCGGTACCTTGAGATGGGACGAATGCTCCTCAAGCAGAAGGAATGCGTCCAGGCTAAGATCCGCGCCTACTCAAAGTCACATCTCGTCCACGCGCCCCCCAAAGAGTGGAAGAACGGCATCACTGAAATCAACCCCCTCGATATCCCGGCCATCCGTGCGTCCGGATGGTCGCCAGACATGGACGAGCTGGCCCGCCAACCCCGTCACGGGCCCAACTACAACCAGCTCCTCCATCTCCTCAACGACTTGCAAAACCACAACGCTGCATGGCCGTTCCTCGTCCCGGTCAATCGCGACGAGGTGGCGGACTACTACGACGTCATCAAGGAACCCATGGACCTCAGCACCATGGAGAACAAGCTCGAGGCTGACCAGTACTCGACCCCCGAGGACTTCATCAGGGACGCGAGACTGGTTTTCGAAAACTGCCGGAAATACAACAACGAGAGCACGCCGTACGCCAAGTCGGCCAACAAACTGGAGAAGTACATGTGGCAGCAGCTCAAGGCTGTCCCTGAGTGGTCGCACCTGGAACCTGAGAAGTAGAGCAGCCTCACGTTCAGCCCGACTGAACTCAACACTACCACCAAGTTGAACAAGAACAAGAACAAGGAGAAGGTGAAGCAGAAGCAGAAGCAGAAGAGCAAGCCGAGGCGGCTTGCGGGGAGGAGAGCAACTACATCATGGAGCTAGGGATCCATGAAACACGACTGTAACGTTGTAATGTTTTTCTAGCATTGAAGATTCCTGATCTGGGTCGGGGGGCGGCATAGACGTCTATGATTTTGGGGGAAAAGGTACATGGAGTTAATTCGGATTTCCCTTTTTAGACACTGAGCAAGGCGTTGGGAACTGAATCTAGGCACGCGGTTGGGGAAAATGTTTCTTTGAAGATAGGTACTTGTATTGCTCATTGCTCTCTAATCGCGAGCGGTCGACGCGCCAGAAGGAAATTACAAAAAGAAGGAAGAAAAAAAAGCCGATACGAAATCCCACACGCAATCGCTTCTATCAAAGAATGTCCCAAATATAGTCCCGTTCGATTTTCCAGCCCTCCCCTTTTAGTGGGGAGCTTTCGCCAGAAATAACAATCGAAAAATCTTGCCTGCTTGATTTCCTTCCCTAGGTTGATCGCCCAAACTCCGTTGCCAGTCCCAGTTGAAAGAGACGGCTGGTTCTGCTTACTCTCCGATTATCTTTGCTCTTGCTGCGTCCCATCATTCAACTCCTTCAGGCATCCATTGCCTTGGTCGAGTAGCCTCTGTGGCCTGGAAACCAAGGTACGCCCGTAACATAACATGTATTTTTGCTTCTCAGTCTCAGCAAATACGATTTGATCTGCGAGCGAGGCACGTAGTCATCATCATAGTGTAACCATAAGCAAATCTTAAGACCTCAGTGCCCCAGGCGCTCCGGCCGACCTGCGGCTAGACGTTGACTCCCCCACGGCTGGCAACCGCAAGCCAGACAATCTGGTAGTAGCCGGGCTCCACGACGCCCTGATACGGGAGCTCCGGTACTCCTGCGCGGCAGCACTGGCTGTTTCTGACCGCAGAGAGCGGCGCAGAATGGGCTGCAGACGCTCAGGAATCTCCGACCACTGCCCGGCGCGAGCGGCCGACACCATATTGACTGGAATCAGGCCGGTAGGAACGACGGTAGATTCCAGCAGCTGACGAAACGCCTGTTCGGTCATATCGTCGTGGATCAATCCCGACTCGAGCGCGTTCTTGAACCATTGCTCCCACTCCTCGTCAAGAACAGCAGAAGTGTCGCCAGCCTCTCGGCGAGCGGCACCGGCCCGGAGCCGCTGGTTGAGTTCTATGCCGACGCTCTCCAGCTCGTCATCGCTCTGTTCCTCCTCCTCATCCTCGTCGGGCGATGTCTCATCGTCCTCCTCGTCCCCCAGCACGCGGGGTTGCCTAAGCCCGTACGACTTCACGATACCATCCTGCTCGTCATCCCATTCGGGGATGTCATCGGCCGTAGTGTCACGGATCGTGATACCCTGCTCGCTCTCGAACTTCTCCTTGGCCCACTTTGTCCCCTCCCATCTCGTCAACCCCGCGATCTCGGCGGGAGTCAAGCCCAGTTCATCAAACGCGCGGAACAGTTTAGTGTGCCAGGGCCAGCGGCGAAGACGGATGCGGTGCGTCTTGTGCGTATAGTCCAGACCGGGGTACTTGGCTTCCTGGGTGTCGAGGTGGCCGTAGAAGGCCTGTGTCTCTTGACGGACCTCGGGGATGAGGTTTCGGGTGAGCAGTGCCTGGAAGTTCTGGGGGTCGTTCGCTTTGGGTTTGGGGAAAATGAACTCGTAAACGAGCTTCTCGACGGAACGGCCCCTCATTTCGGCGGCTTTGATGACAGGTACTCTGCTGGCAGTAAGAGAGTAGCGGGCGGTGAGTTATAACGTGCTTATTGTGCGTCTTGGTGGTGACTTAATGATCACGGCAGAGCGGTTTTCGGAGTAAGGCGACGCTAGGGTGTAGCCGGCAGTGAGATTGCGAATGAGAGAAGAGGGTGAAGTGCAGGCTTGAGAAGATCGAAAACCCCACCTATGTAGGGTGCGTCGAGAGTTTGCAAACACGCTGTCGTTCTGAACGCGCGGTCCAACGAAAAGCAAACACCGGCAGGGTCAACAAAGTGTCAGTCAGCAGCTCCACGATCGTGGTGAAGTTGCCGGGCCTGGCCTGGGAAAGTTCTGGAGAAGGGGGTGGGGGGGGCTGGAGGCCAAGAACGGCGAATGTTGGGCCGAGCTCGCGATGGTCGTGATGTCCGCGCTGGCTGTTGGTGGCAACAAAGGGGGGAATGCACACAGGCGGTGGTAATGAGGATAGGTGTATTGTAAGAAAACCCAGGCAGGTGCAAGCAAGGAATGGAAGAAGCGTAGAAGCAAAAAAAAAAACCAAGACACGGCCTGGAGCCTGACGGGAATCCAAAGGCACCTGGACGGCAGCACAGGATTGGACCGGTCCGGGCTTGGATTTTCAGGGCACACCACCCCCTGGACGAGGCTTTGGGGAGGCGCTACGCTAACTGGCCAGTTCACTGATTACGAGGCAGTCATTGGATGCGAGGTTTGCATCCATCCAAGGAAAGGGTGCCTAGCAGCTTCCCGTGCTCCTCCCCTAGCCCCATTGCTTAGGCTCCAATGGGAACGTTATCTGGAGAGCAGGCGCCTGGCTGACATAAAACAATACATTGAAGCCGTCGACATCGCACCCGACCGGGCATCATTGCGGAGGCATTGAAGAACACGGCATCTTCTTGTCTGCTTATCATTGCTAATTAGCAACCATGAGTCAACAGATAGCGCCCATTTCAGCGGCTCAGCGCTGGAAGTCTCGTTGTCCCATGTTTATGTCATCCTCTGGAGGGCAAGAGGGGTCCTCCGAGAAGGTGGGCCCCTCCTCCGGGGCGTCCTCGAGTCCCACTGATGGATCATGGCGGCGGCGTCTGTTCCAGTCAGATTCGAGGGAACAGATCAAATCAATGTCCTCTGATTTAGCCGCCGCCGACCGGCGCTCGCTGGCGCCCGTGGCTGTGATACCACCCACTGCTGGCTACCCGATACCTCTCCCATAGCACGCTGGAGGGCATGTGATGCACCTTGTGAATCAACAATGTCGTGAAATGCTGTCACTGTGTATTGTACTTGTCTGTTTGATCACTCGTATCTGTTGTGATCCTTGGTGTAGGAAATTCACAGGCTGCCACCGGTTCACGACCAGAGAAGCGGACCCGAGGTTGCGAACAATGCACGTACGACGTTGAGAATGGCTGAC